TATTTGTTTTAAATAATTTTATTTTATTTATTTATTTGACAGAGAGATACGCAGCAAGACAGGGAACACAAGCAGGGGGAGTGGGAGAGGGAGAAGCAGGCCCCCCGCGGAGCAGAGAGCCCGATGCGGGGCTCGATCCCAGGACCCTGGGATCATGACCTGAGCCGAAGGCAGATGCTCAACGACTGAGCCACCCAGGCGCCCGTTTTAAATAATTTTAAAAGTGAATATACCATTAAAATATTTCTCTTTCTTCCGGAAGAAAACCTAAGTAAACGAGATTAATACCCTGGTAAGATCCCAGAGTGTCCATAGTGCTGTATCTGAAGATAAAAGAATCCTTAATTCTTTATCAGTTCCAGGAAGGAACTAAAAATGGGTTTTCTAATATCCAGCACACTTGTGATTTCTAAGGGAAAATACGTTCCAGTTAACTGTAGTAACTGTTTTAGTTTTCCCCAAAGCATCTGATTTACCTGTACACATGTGAACAGGTAAAAGTTTAACTGAAAAGAGACAACTCAAGTTCAGCCTGCTCCCTCTGATGCAGCACTATGTGTGAGGCTTATCTCTGAGTATCATGTCACTGGCAGCTAGGACAACATAGTGGGGCTGTGAGGCACTCAACAATTTTCACTCGTTCCACTGCCTAACCTGTAGTTCAGCTTGCTTCCCTTTTCCAGAGTCCTAAATTCACAAAGTAAGATTTATTACCATAGACAAAGAGGCCATCAAATGCCTTTCCCAGCCACCACCATTCACGGGAATTTCCTTAGAATTTCAGCTTTTTAAAATAAGATTTAGTCCTGGGACGCCTGGGTGGCTCAGTCGTTAAGGGTCTGCCTTCAGCTCAGGTCATGATCTCAGGGTCCTGGGATTGAGCCTCATCGGGCTCCCTGCTCAGTGGGAAGCCTGCTTCTCCCTCTCCTACTCCCCCTGCTTGTGTTCCCTCTCTCACTGTCTCTCTCTGTCAAATAAATAAATAAAATCTTAAAAAAAAAAAAATAAGATTTAGTCCTGATATATTACAAATGCCTCAGGGAAATATTCTGTTTACTCATTTGTATCCCACAGCAGATCAAAAAATCCTTGGGAACTGCAGACCTTGTTTCTTTCAGTTACCATCTCCAGCGCCCAGCACAGAGAGGGTCAGAAACTTGGTAAACATTTGTAGAATGAATAAGGACTAACATTAAGATGTATAAACTAACCTATAACTTAGTGTGAATGAAAGTCTTCAGGGCCTTTCCTGAGAAGTTCTGGGTAGATCATCAGTTGCATTGAAAGAGTTAAGATAACCCTGAAGAGGGCCACCTGGGTGGCTCAGTCGGTTAAACCTCTGCCTTCAGCTCAGGTCATGATCCCGGGATTCTGGGATCGAGCCCTGCATCGGGCTCTCCGCTCAGTGGTGAGTCTGCTTCTCGCTCTCCCTCTGTGATCTCTCTCGCTCTCTCTCAAATAAATAAATAAAACTAAAAAAGATAGCCCTGAAGAGAAAGCCTGAGAAAGGCTCCTCTTCAGTTCTGTCTGGAAACATCATCATACCATGGATCAGTCTAAAGGAACATCGTTCTTCAAAAGAAACCCCATACTTCAGCTGAATGCCATATGAAATTATCTTCTCATTGGAAGCCCCTCTACAAAAATCTATTTCAATGAGACATTAACAACAGGCAATCCTTTATGACAGCAAAGTAAGACCAAGAAACAGGGACCTTAATCTTTCAGACTTCTTTTCTAACCCTAGAATTCCTGGTATGGTACTCAATCAATTGCTAATGCTTGAATTAATCAACAACATAAAGAAGCTGGATTAGCAGAAGGTTATCCAGCCAATGCAAAGGATCAGTCATTAAAAACCCAGTTTCTGGAGTCAGATAAAAGTGAGGTTGAATCCTGGCTCCACTGCTTACTCTGTAAGCCTGAGTTTCCACATATGAAAAGAAAGATATTTATTAAGCCTATAACGTGGAGTTGCAGTAAGGTTTAAATAGGAATATATACAGTTCTTTGCACTGGGCCTGGCACACAGTTAGTTCTCAAGAAAAGTGAGCCATCATTTAGAAACCTAGATTCACATTCCACCACTACCTCCCTATGTATCCTTGGGCTCATCACTAGGAAGAAGCCAATGAAAACAAAATCAAGGGCTCTCTAATGCTGGGATTATCAATCATAAATAAGGTAAAAGAAAATGGATCAAAACTTTTTGAAAAATAAACGCCTTAAACAATTCAGATATTTTTGGGGCGCCTGGGTGGCTCAGTTGGTTAAGCGACTGCCTTCGGCTTAGGTCATGATCCTGGAGTCCCGGGATCGAGTCCCGCATCGGGCTCCCTGCTCGGCAGGGAGTCTGCTTCTCCCTCTGACCCTCCTCCCTCTCATGCTCTCTGTCTCTCATTCTCTCTGTCTCAAAAAAAAAAAAAAAACCAATTCAGATATTTTTTGGCTTTGTACTTGAAGCTTGCATATGTTTAATCACAAATGACTCAGCATCAGAATATCAAAATGAAAAAGCCTAAACAGGCAGACTTTAGGTATTCTCAAATACTTCAGTGCCTGGGGTGAAGGCTGGACTTTATGAAACACCTGTATATGTTGGGGGTGGGGGCACAGGTCTTTGTATTAAATGGCTTAAAGACAATCTTGTTACCTTTTTTTTTCCCCCACAGATGAGGTTAAATCTTTTTTCTTCCTTAGACCTTAAAATTCATCAGTATCAGCTCTGTATAGCATAGCATCCAAGTAAAGGTCACTGTTCAATCTAGCAGCTGTGTTATACAGAACATTACAAGTGCATAGGCAGGCACCCAGAGCGCAGGTTGGTTCTCTGTCACCACTTAACCCTGCGGTGGGCACCTTTGCGCAAGGGCACAGCCATACACAGCAGTCATGCAGATAAGCACAAAGATCTTCAGTATTTAACTGGCATACCTGTATAACTATTCATACAATATACACCCACACAAACACAAACATGACAAAGTTGTCAGGATTTAACTGAGTAAATGAAAAAGGATATTCATCAAAAAATGAAAATACAGAGCTTCAAAAAGTTCAAGGGAGCAGGTTCCTGTCCCCTCTCCCACCCTCAGCTGGCCAGTACTGGGATATTGTAGCCAACAGGAATTTGGGGGATGGGAGGTAGGTGGAGGCTTCAACACTGTAAAACTCCCATCCCTGGAAAAACTATGGCCTTTCCCCAATAGTTGCTCACTCACACACTCACTCTCAAAATGAAGATAGGAGAAAAAAACCCACAGATAGCAAATGACCTACTCACCTGAGTCTGCAAGAACAGGGGTAAACAAACTGTTGTCTTGTTTGAACTGCATTAAAAATCTGTAATCCCAGGCAAGAATATACTATATGCTAAAGGAACCAGTCTGAAAATGTTGACTGTCAATTCTGCCTCCTTGAGCTTTTCCCTACCAGATACCCAATGCTCATATAAAAAATTATTTTTTGTTCAATATTGCATATGCATATCAATCCTGCTGAACTTTACAAAAGTTGCCTTCCATTAAAAATAAATAACAGGACATTACATTTCTAACACTGTGACCTGCGAAACACCATAGTTCAAGAGCTATTTAAGGAACAGAAATTCCAGGTTAAATATGGTATATTACATGTGCAGAGACAATGTACAAGAATATTCATTGCAGCACTGTTTATATTAAGTTTGGAAGTAATCTAAATGGCTATTAAAGAGAGAATGCATTAGTAAAGTATAATACATTCATACAATGGAAAACCTTGAGTTAAAATGTAAAGATTTTAAGCTACCAGTTCAAATTGAGGTATTATGTGGATAAACTGCAAACGATGCAGAGTAGAAGAAAAGCTGCAGAATGATACATGTAATACTATTTATATAAGGTTTTAAAACTCCCAACATTACCTCTGCCTTAGAATTTGTTGGAACAGTCTTGCATGTTCCTTGTATGTACACTAAATACCTAATGAATATTCACTCTAAAAATAGAAAAGGTTAAAAAAAAAAAAAAAGACTATTAATCATATAAAGTTTCCCCAATGGCAGGGAGGAACCTTATTTAGTACTGGAAGTCACTTAACCCTTTAAGTCATAAGATGTGTGCTCTATCTCCATACTACTACTCACCAAGACACTATTTTACCAAGCCTCAGTTTGCTCACCTACATGGGGTTGATAACACCTGCCTCGCAGGTTGAAGTGAAATAATGCATGTAAAAGAGTTTATACAAAAGGTCTTGGACTTGTTTTTTGCCTATCAGTCAAGAGATCACACAATAACGCCCTACAGGGGAAAAAAAAAAATGTTGAGTCTGCACTTTTTCATCTAGTCTCGTATATGGTTAAATATGACAAAGAACACAACAGGAAAGGGCAACCCCTCACCTTCCTCCTTCCAGTCCCTGATCTGGCTTGCCTCCTATGCTTTCTATATTTAGCACGCATTGCCCCCCCCCCCAAAAAAAAACCACGAAACCGTGACTCTTGCAGGGCTCCCTTCGGAACTCCCCGTGATCTTGGAATAAATCCCTTTAATGTCACCAACCCTGCCGCCCCTCACCACAGACACCCGTCTGCAGCCCCGGAGGCAGATGAACGAAAACCCAACGGTCATGGCCACATAAGAGACCGTAAAAATCACAGTGCGATGTTGTTGGGTTTGAAAGGTTCTGTTTGTTTTCAAAAATTAAGAGGAAAGTATACCGTAGACTCTTAAACCCTACTCTTAGAAAGAAGATCTGGGCAAATAAGTTCTGCGACTTGTTTCCAAACACACCGTCCCCACATCTGGATCCAATACAAAGCCAGGCACACCGAGGCCCCTGGAGCGGCAGGCTGCGTTTGCAGTGGGGCAGACCCACCTCTCACACCCGCCCGCACACAGCACCCACCGAGGCGCACATGCCGGCGCCGACACACACTCCGCACGCGGGATGCTCTCAGAGGCCCCGTGCCCGCTCTCCCCGCACTCCCGGCTGGCGCGGCGGGCTCCGAGCCTCACCTGTCTTGAAGACCATCTTGTCATCGTCCTTGGACCCGAAGGTCTTCAGCATGGCCACGAAGAGCACCCCGCAGGCGTTCTGGATGCCGAACACCGACCCATTGCACCACATGGCGGCAAACATCACCAGCCAGCCCCAGCCGCCCTCGGGAGGCTGCGGGGGCTCAGCGCCCGCCGGCCCCGTCAGCTCTACCTCCACCTTCTCGACGGACGCCTCGGGGCCGTCCGAGGGTCCCGGGCCGGGCAGCGGAGCGGCCCCCACCGTAGGCGCGGGGCCCGGTGGCTGCGCCTCGCTCGTCCCCTGCGCGGCGGCGGGCTCCTCGGGGAAGGGCACCATGGCCCGAGGCGGCCCCCTCGGGCGCCAGGGGAGCGCGAGGGGTGCGAGTCCCCGGCGAGCTCGCGGAGGAGCTGCCGAGCGCCGAGCCCGCGGGCTGCTGAGGCCGAGGCGAGGGCGGCGGAGCCCCGGGTGGGCCGTCAGCGCAGGGCGCGGAGGCTGCCGCGAGGAGGAAGGCGGAGGCGAGCGAGCACCTCACAGCCCAGGGACTCGGGCCTCCAGTGCACAGCCCCGTACCCGCCACTGCGGCGGGGGCCCGCCAGCCGGCTCTTAAAGACGCCCCCCACCCCGCTGGCTGGGGGCGTGGCTGGAGCGGGACGTGCCCCAGACTCTCGAGATGATTGGGCTTCAGGAGAGCGGAGGCGGGGCCCGCCCGCCTGGAGGAGCCAAGACCCAGGTGCCCGCGGGTGGCGGTCTCTGCGCGCGCGCCTGCGGCAAGGCCTCCTCCTACCCAGTAGGGGGTCATAGATGTGTAGGTTGCCTCGCCGCAAAGTGTTAACGGAAGGAGCGCGAATCCTCCTAGGTACAGGCTGGGTGTGTCATCACACAGCAGTACGGGAGCTTCTTTAGCCTTAGCTCACTGACAGCTTCACAACCAAACTAACATTGCCTCTTTGTTTTTGTTTTGCTTTTTGGCATTCACCTCTTATTACTAATTATAATATATAAGCTACGTAATGCCACCTGCTTACCTAAAAGAAAGTCAGAAGAGGACTTATTGAATTATTTCTCCTGCTTTCATACACAATTTCCTATAAATACTTGGCACATTAAAGATGCCCATTTTGTAAGACGCAGACTACATAATACCAAAGCCTTCAAATAACATTTTTGACAGCTGAAAAACATTACTTTTAAACTACAGCACAGTTGTTTTCACTTTAAACATAAATGAGCACGTATATTCAACTCCTCTGTCTCTCCGAAGCATGGAGCAGCAATGTATGTGAAAGAAAGGAAGAATAGCTGTGCAATATTGAGCACACTTCTTAATTTCTCAGTTACTCAGATTCTTCACTTCAAAGTCAATATATACTAGTTATTTTGTGTGCCCACCACTACGGTGGAGTATACAGATGAGTGTGATTGATCATATTTCTTCCTCTACCTGTTAATAAACTAGTAGGAGAAAATCCTGGGTTAGAATAGGAGGCTCAGATGGTATTATAATACATATATAACGAACAGGAGTGGGATGGAAAAATTCTCTTCAAAACACTATAGAAGAGCTTCTACAGCAAGTCGTCATGGAGCTGAGCCCCAAATCAAACAGGTAACTTGAGTGGGCAAAGATAGGGGAAGAGCATTCTAGGTAGAGAAAATCGCCTAGGCTATGGAAAGCAGGGTGTGCTTGAAGAACAGGGGACATAGCTCAAACAAAATGTGTCTTAGGGATAGGGTTAGAATAATAGACTAAGATTAGTCATACAAGTGCACCAAAATGAATGCACAGGATGTTAATCCAGCATTGTTGGAAAATAAGGAAAAAGTGGAAGCAAAGATATGCATCAGTGGCTGGTTGATTAAATACATACTACATAATCTCTAGAAGTTATGTTGTTTACCTCTATTGACTTTGAAAGTTATCCACAACATTTTATTTAGCAAAGAAAGGACATCATTAAAAAAGGTATGGATTATAACACAAAATATAAAATAAGTATCCATAAAGTATATTAAGTCTTCCTCTCAAAACCCATAATCCCAGTCTAATCATTAAAAAAAAAAAATTAGACAAGGGCGCCTGGGTGGCTCAGTCGGTTAAGCCTCAAACTCTTGATGTTGGCTCAGATCATGATCTCAGGGTTGTGAGACTGAGCCCCTGATCAGGCTCTGCACTGGGCATGGAACCTGCTTAAGATTCTCTCTCTGCCCCTACCCCTGCTCCTGCAGGCACAAGCTCTCTCTCTCTCTCAAAAAAAATTAGGGGCACCTGGGTGGCTCAGGTGGTTAAGAGTCTGACTTCCGCTCAGGTCGTGATCCCAGGGTCCTGGGATGGAGCCCCAGGTTTGGCTCCCTTCTCAGCAGGGAGCCTGCTTCTCCCTCTCCCCCTATGCCCACTGGTACTCACACACACTCTCTCTCTCTCAAATAAATAAAATCTTTTCTAAAAAATTAGACAAGTCTCAATTGAGGGACATTCTATAAAATACCAGACCAGTACTTCTCAATACTGTTAAAGTCGTCAAATCAAGGAAAATCTGAGAAATGTCAGATCCAAGAGGAACTGAAGGCAGTGTGACGACTAAATGGAATGTGACATCCTAGATGTAATCCTGGAACAGAAAAAGGACATTAGGTAAAAACTAAGGAAATCTGAATAAAATAAAATAAATTATTAATACTGGCTCATTAATTGTAACAAATGTGGAATACAAATTAAGATGTTAATAAGAGAGGGCGCCTGGGTGGCTCAGTTGGTTAAGCGACTGCCTTCAGCTCAGGTGATGATCCTGGGGTCCCGGGATCGAGTCCCACATCGGGCTCCCTGCTCAGCAGGGAGTCTGCTTCTCCCTCTGACCCTCCCCCATCTCATGCTCTCTCTCTATCTCATTCTCTCTCTCAAATAAATAAATAAAATCTTTAAAAAAAAAAAGATGTTGGGCGCCTGGGTGGCTCAGTTGGTTAAGCGACTGCCTTTGGCTCAGGTCATGATCCTGGAGTCCCTGGATCGAGTCCCGCATCGGGCTCCCTGCTCGGCGGGGAGTCTGCTTCTCCCTCTGACCCTCCTCCCTCTCATGCTCTCTGTCTCTCATTCTCTCTCTCAAATAAATAAATAAAATCTTTAAAAAAAAAAAAAGATGTTAATAAGAGAATTGGGTGAAGAGGTATGGGAACTCTGTATTATCTTTGCAATTTTTCTATAAATCTAAAACTGTTCTAAAAATAAAATTTGTTTTTTTATTTTTATTTTTTAAATAAGCTCTAGGCCCAACATGGGGCTTGAATTTATAATCTTGAGATCAAGAGTCACATGCTCCACCAACCGAATCAGCCAGGAGCCCCTAAAGTTTTGTTGTTGTTGTTGTTTTTAACGATTTTATTTATTTATTTGAGACAGAGAGAATGAGAGACAGAGAGCATGAGAGGGAGGAGGGTCAGAGGGAGAAGCAGACTCCCTGCCGAGCAGGGAGCCCGATGCGGGACTCGATCCCGGGACTCCAGGATCATGACCTGAGCCAAAGGCAGTCGCTTAACCAACTGAGCCACCCAGGCGCCCCTAAAGTTTATTTTTTAAAAGTTTGTGTATCATGATTCCATTCTTGTAAAAATACGTATATATGTATGTAACAATTTTTAAACATGATACTGTTTATTTTTTTTAATTTTTATTTTTTATTCTTATGTTAATCCCCATACATTACATCATTAGTTTTAGATGAAGTGTTCCATGATTCATTGTTTGTGCATAACACCCAGTGCTCCATGCAGAATGTGCCCTCCTCAATACCCACCACCAGGCTAACCCATCCTCCCACCCCCCTCCCCTCTAGAACCCTCAGTTTGTTTTTCAGAGTCCATCGTCTCTCATGGTTCATCTACCCCTCCGATTTCCCCCGCTTCATTCTTCCCCTCCCACTACCTTCTTCTTCTTTTTTTTCTTAACATATATTGCATTATTTGTTTCAGAGGTACAGATCTAAGATTCAACAGTCTTGCACAATTCACAGCGCTTACCAGAGCATATACCCTCCCCAGTGTCTATCACCCAGTCACCCCATCCCTCCCACCCCACCCCCCACTCCAGCAACCCTCAGTTTGTTTCCTGCAATTAAGAATTCCTCATATCAGTGAGATCATATGATACCTGTCTTTCTCTGTTTGACTTATTTCACTCAACATAATACCCTCCAGTTCCATCCACGTCGTTGCAAATGGCAAGATCTCATTCCTTTTGATGGCTGCATAATATTCCATTGTATATATATACCACTTCTTCTTTATCCATTCATCTGTCGATGGACATCTTGGCTCTTTCCACAGTTTGCCTATTGTGGACATTGCTGCTATAAACATCGGGGTGCACGTACCCCTTCGGATCCCTACTTTTGTATCTTTGGGGTAAATACCCAGTAGTGCAATTGCTGGATCATATGGTAGCTCTATTTTCAACTTTTTAAGGAACCTCCATACAGTTTTCCAGAGTGGCTGCACCAGCTTGCATTCCCACCAACAGTGTAGGAGGGTTCCCCTTTCTCCGCATCCCCGCCAACATCTGTTGTTTCCTGACTTGTTAATTTTAGCCATTCTGACTGGTGTGAGGTGATATCTCATGGAGGTTTTGATTTGGATTTCCCTGATGCCGAGCGATATTGAGCACTTTTTCATGTGTCTGTTGGCCATTTGGATGTCTTCTTTGGAAAAATGTCTGTTCATGTCCTCTGCCCATTTCTTGATTGGATCATTTGTTCTTTGGGTGTTGAGTTTGATGAGTTCTTTATAGATTTTGGATACTAGCCCTTTATCTGATATGTCATTTGCAAATATCTTCTCCCATTCTGTCGGTTGTCTTTTGGTTTTGTTGACTGTTTCCTTTGCTATGCAAAAGCTTTTTATCTTGATGAAGTCCCAATAGTTCATTTTTGCCCTTGCTTCCCTTGCCTTTGGCGATGTTTCTAGGAAGAAGTTGCTTTGGCTGAGGTCAAAGAGGTTGCTGCCTGTGTTCTCCTTTAGGATTTGGATGGACTCCTGTCTCACATTGAGGTCTTTCAACCATTTGGAGTCTATTTTTGTGTGTGGTGTAAGGAAATGGTCCAGATACTGTTTATTTTTAAGTTTCACTTTATATATGATTGTTATATGTATAGCATATATAACATTTCTAAGCATTATATAATGTGCTTTATTTTCAGATTAAAGTTTGACATTTTTCACGGGGATTGATTTAAGAATAACTTGGACTTAAAGGATTAAAAAATTAATGCCCACAAACCACTTAGACAGTGCCTGGCACACAGCAAGCTCTTATGAAATGTTAGCAGTTACTACCATTATTATTACTATTGATGACGTCAATGATTCCTTCCAGTGACTTCCCAATACCAGCATTTTATTGGAATCAAGCAATTTAAATGGATGTTTACATTTTTATAAATACAACTTTTATTTAATCACAAATATATCAAGTTAGGAAATTAAAATATGAAAACATTGAAATTTAGGAGCTTAGATGTCCTTGTCCTCAACTATTATGTTATCTATTCCTTAAAGAGAAATTTATTTCCCACCAGTTACTCTTTCCCCAACTCACAAA